CGAGCCGACCGGCACCTGCCGGCCCTCGGGGCTCCGGCTGCCTGGCTGCGTTTAAAAGCGCCGCCGGGCTCCGCTTTGCTCGTGCGAAAAGCGAGAGGGGGCGGGCGGGGGTGCGGGTGGCCGAAGGAGGGATGCTGCAGGCGCTTCGCTCCCCACCCAGGTTGCGGATCTTGGAGATGCTGAGGTCCCCCGGGCCCCCCTGGAGCAGATAGCTGGCAGGGCGTGCCAGGATGCTGCGTGTTTGTACGGGACAGAAGGGTGAAATGGGACATACCCTGGCTGAGTCAGAATCCCCCGATCCCTTTGCCTCTTGTGGATTGAATTGCCATGGATGGGATCAGATCTGCTGCTGCTCATGTTAGTCTGCACATCCCTGCAAAAGGCATCGATAGCTACAGTGTGTGGCTGCAGCTCAAGGCGAGAGCCTCCACCGCAGCGCCTGCGCAGCAGAGTGCCGGGGTCCCCGGGCAGCGCTGCCTTCCTGGGGAGCACAGCAGCGCTCCCTCCATAAACATCTTCCACTAAAGTGCGGATGTGAGTTAAGGAGATAAGTTATTTTAGCAAGTGGTGCAATCTCATATTCCCTTCCCACAAACAGCATCCTCAAGGAGTCTTCTCTGCTCACATAATGCCTTTTTTTTTTTTTTTTTTTAACCTGCATAGCTGTGCCTTAGCAGTGTTTTGCTCTAGGCAGATGGGCAAACATTCCCATGATGTAATTGCCTTTTTCCTTTCAAGAGAGAGCTGGAAAATGGCTGGGAAATTAGTTCATTCCAAAGTGATTTAAACAAGCTATGTCTGTGAGTGAGGACACCTGGCAGGTCTGGAGACCGACAACTCCTGAGTGCAGCAGAGAGCAGCGAGCATAGAAGTGCCGCCCACGGGATCCCATAAATCTGCCTCACCTCTGCCCTGAGGCAGGGCACCCCAGGTCTGCAGGGAGGGTGCACCTTGGCTGTCCTGCTGTTGGGGCTGTCAGGGGAGGGGTGTGTTGGTTGGTGCTGGATGCCCCGCAGTGCCTTTGATGTCTGAACGCGGTTGGGCTGTCGGGTGCTTCTTCAGTACCGCTGCGTCTGAATCCTGCTGCTCTCGGCAGTCATCTGGGATGACTGGGACAGACGGGAACCCCTCGTGTCTAGTCTTCGTAGTACAGAAGAGTAAGAAGAAAAATGTGTTTGCAGGCCCCTGTTACGCATCGTGAGGGGATGGCAGAGGGCAGCCACCGCTCCCTGTCTCTGCTGGGCACCTTGCAGCGGGCCCGGTGTCACAGCTGCAGCCCTTGCTGCCAGCCCGGCGGGGCGCGGCGCTGCGCTCTCCCAGCCCGGTGCCATCCTGTGGCTCACCGGAGGAATAACAGCGTCCTGCTTACGGAGGTCTGGCGAGAAAGGTGGTTTTGTGCAGGATGAGATATTTCTTCATTATTTCTTGTGATTCATTTGTGCTGGATGCAAGGGACCCAGTTCTACTTTGACTCGTATTGCCTTCATAGCCTGCCCTTTTTTCAGTAGTGTTCTTTCTCCCACCACTAAAGAGCTACTTTATCAAACTGACTTGTAAAGTAAAATATTAAGGCAAAGGCATTAATATCTGATACCAAACAAAACTGAAGAGAGCAGAATATTCCAAATAAATCAGATGCACAAAAGGATTGTAATGTTGGGTAGCCTACAATCCAATGCACAGGCTTTTTTGTGGTGCATTGCTGTGTATATGAAATGTCTCAATTACTTAGATAATTGATTTAATTCCTAATCTTTGAATAGGTTTAAAAAGCTGTTTGTGGTGACTTTAGACAAAGAAGAAAAGCAATAGCGTTTGAAAGATCTTCCTAAAGTTTCTGAAGACAAGGGCAGTTTCAAATGAGGTTAATGCAGTAATCAGGGGTTATCTGTGTTCCCTGGAAGAATAAATTGAAGTATCAAGCTTGAGCTTCTCAGAAAGGCTGGGATTCGCAGCAGCATTTAGCAGCTTACCTCCCAATGAAATCAGTGGGACTGATTACAAAGGCTTTTGAATGCCTTTGTAAATCAGAGTGCGAATGTCTGTTACTGTAAGGCGCTGAGCATAGTGGCTCTTAATGGATTTGAATGGGCTCATCCGCATCTTTAAATTGAATGATAGATGAGTAGTGGAGCTGGACTCAGAACCGAGGAATTCCTCGTGCCTGAGCTCAGCGTCATGGGTTGAATGTTTCTGTCCTTGCATAGTTTGACTCTTGAGTACTCACAGGGACTTTGGTGGAAGGTAGCTTGCAAGTGCAGCCCTTCTCTTAGTGTATGTACGGTGGTGTGTGCTGGCCTTTAGCTGGTCACTGTGTGCGTGAGGCACCCAGTGGCTGAACCAGCAAGGTAGGAAACCTGATAAAACACCTATTCACTGGTACGACTGAAGTTTGATGTCCTCAGAAGTGCTGGTGTGGTGTATTGTCACACGCTGGCCCAGCTCAGTCACAAGATACAGAAATGCAAGGAGAGGGACTGTAGCCAACTGAGAATACGTAAGGAAAAAAATGGTCAACGGGTCTAGGCTGACCTGCAAGTGTTTTTCTCCAAAGGTATTGTTCCTGATGGTTAGGTTGTGTTGGTTAAGTACAACTGATCAAGTATATCATGGGCTATGGTTCCAGGTTGCCTTTGAGAGAGACCAGCAGGTGAATGCTCTTGTGCTCAAGTGATTCCTGTGTTATTCTTGGTAGTTCTCTCCAAAGATTCAATCCTATGAAACTCAACTATGGGCATGCTCATGAGGAAGAGATTACAAAAGGGGATATGTGACACAGGGAATGGTACCAGTGTGAGTCAGACTGAATGGATGGGATGTTGAATGCTGAAGGAAGACATTTATTTAGCTGCATGGAGGCCAAAGCTTAGGAGTTTAGCACCGTGGATACTATGTGAGAGCAAATAGGGATGCTCAACGATGTGAAGATTTTTGAAGCAATACTTAGTGCAGGTTCCCAAAATTTTAAGTCATGAGTGACATCCTCAGAATATTTTGGGATTGGTTCCAACGTGTACAAAGTGGAAGCCACTGTATTTCATTTTGGTTCTTGAACTCAACTCCAGCCTGCCATGCGATGGTCCAAACTCCATGGCTGGTCATCATTTGCCGTGTGACATCTCACAAGAGAAGTCAGTAAGCTTTCAGGCCTTATTTGCATGAAGGGTCTACAGTACCCTCCCTTTCCTCCTGCTCTTTATCCTCCTCTTCCCCTACCACTCAATTTGACCTTGTCTAATTTTAAAACTTTTCTCAGTTCATCCAGTGCAGGTCCCAGTTTGCAGGGGAGGCTTGCAGTGGTGCAGGCGAGGGAGGTGACTGGCCCCATATAGACTAGCCTGGAGCTTCTGGGCAGGTAATTTCCTGGGAGCGGAGCTACTGGGAACTGCCCAACACAACTGTGGGACAGGTGTGAAATAAGGAAGGTTGTACTGAGCTACATCGAAAAGTGTCTTCTCTGGAGAAGGCACGTCACTGGTCATTTCTGTAACCTTCCACATCCCTGTTTGTTACTCTTCCTCCAGTTATCCCCTGTGTCGTATCTCAGTGGAGTGTCTGGAGTGGCTGCACAGAGCCTTGCAAGACAACGTATCGTGTTCGGAGGAGGCACGTCATTCAGGAGCCCAGGAACGGAGGAGAGGCATGCCCTCCTCTGGAGGAGAGGGCTGGCTGCGTGGAGTACTGGACTCAGCAAGGAACAGAGTGCAAACAGTCCCTGAGTAAGTCCACTGAAAATGTAAGTGTCTGGGTAATCGGGGGGAGGATTCCTGTTTGGGTCAGCAGAGCTGATCTCTACTATATTTGAAAAAGGTTGTTTTTGGACACCAGCATGTTTGAACTACACCTGTCTGGTGTAGCTCAGATCTGAGCTCTTCACGCAGGGGCTTAGAGATATCCTTCCTGGGACAGTATCTGAAAGTAGTGCCTGCCGTTTGCTATAATCTGCTGTGTTTCAAAAGTGAAATGTTACAGGCCTGTTGTGATCTCACTTATACAAGTGTAAATCTCTGGCAATTTTGATAGAGTCGGTAGATTTATGCCTGTTTAAAACTTCTGTAAGTGGGTGTTGAGCACTTTTTTTTTCTTTTTTATTTATTTTTTTTATTTTATGAGTCATCTGCAAAAAGTCATGAAGGAGCAATACCCATCAAAGGCAAGGTATGACTTCTCTGCACTGGAGCAGAGTGCAGGCAGAGGAGACCTCCAGCCAGTTTCTGGAGAAAAAGCCTGATTTCAGTTTGTTCAAATCAACTTTTCATGACATACCTTTACTGAGTTTTAGAAGAACTGCTTGTCATTTTTGCTGGTATTTTGGGGTCAAAACCTGTCCGGTCTGGATGTTGGCTACAACTGACTTCTTCAAACCTGTTGAGAGTAGTTGGTATTAAGTGAATATTGCCTCCCCCCTCTGTCTTTTGGGTGTGCCTGATAAGTAGGCTTACTCTGCTCAGGCAAAAATCTGGCAACAATACAGATTCTCTTTTCAGTGAAATGGTTGATGGTCACGGATAATATGAAAATACAAAGTTTGAGTTGTTTTTGTCTCCTGCT